TTAAAGTTCTTTATTATTTTGACTTGGTTTCTGACGTGCTGTTTCTACAAGCCAAGAAATCGTTTCTGTGGCAGAACGACTACCCGAGTTGTGGAAGTAGTGGTGCATCTCCTTTTGTCACTTTTAGCATGAAATCACCTTTGTTGTATTGTTTGTTTCCCCATGACTTTAGTTTTGCCTACGTAAACCGAGAATGTTAAAGTTGTAAGTCTGTCCTGTATATGGCTCTTTCGTGTACCCCGTGAATAACCGAGTTTTGTAGTAGAGCCGATCATGGAGTAGCCGCGGACGCCGTCATGAACGAAACACAGGAGCATGGTCCGAATGTGGAGGTGGTCAGAGGCCAAGAATTTGAGGTCGGTCCTCGGTACGTTAGCCTCTCGTACATCGGCGAGGGTGCATACGGAATGGTCGTGTGAGTAACTGTCTGTTTTCATTCGTTATACCCATTATGATAAGCTAGTGGCTTTGTTGACACTGTTTCGAAGCAGATCGATCGATGGTCCGTCCGCTATTTATGTACTTCAGGATTAAAGTATTGTTAGATAAACCAGCTCGAAGCTAAAATGTATCTCTGCTGGCTATGGCTTGCTGGAATTTGTTTGGTGTGTTTTTGTCACTTGCGTTGTTAAGCAACGAAAGTTTGCGCAGGTCGAGCGAATGCCTTGCTTTACAATTATGAGAAATTCACTTCAGTTTTGGTCGTTCAGTGTAATGCTAAAAAACGGTCATTCGCGGAGCATTATTAAATTTATAAATTCATACTTCATTAACCTGGGTACACTGTCCATGACCCTGATAGATGACCATGACAACAAGAACAACAACATTGAAATTAAATGACTGAATGATTTACCGATCCTCAGTTCAGAGGGAGGAAGAAGGGCTCAACTTATGGCAAACAAGAATAGGCAAGTTTCTAACTACTACAGTGTCATTCATCGGACTGGCTTACTCTTCAACGATGGTTGCTACTGTGGCATCGTTTTTTCAAACACCTTTACGCTTGTCCTATACCCACACTGAAATGACCTCCCTTTCCGTGCCATCGGTCAGAAATGGCTTATTTTTCATGTTTGTGTTCACAGCATGTTTGTTTCACACGCTCTTCTGCTCGTTTACTTATCTGAACGGGAACGACGTACTTAGGCGTCCTTAACACTTGACGGTAATGTGCGGCAACTGCAGTCCCACGGTACGATTCTGCATGATTACTTCGGAATAAGCAGTAATTTCTGAAATCCTCTCCCCATCTGGTGAAGCACATACCCTTTTTGAAGTTTAGGGCAGATCATGGCCAAAGACAGTTACTAAATGATTGGGTGCTGATAAAATGATTGTCATTGATCAGTTGATGACTGCTGTGAACAGCGGTTAGTCCTGACTTCCGTTTTTTGTCCTTGATACCGCTTTTCTCAGAGGGAGTATATCAGGTTATTATAACATTTATTATGCGTCATTATTGAAATCTCTTAGTCGAAAGTTTGATCGAGATTTTAAGCATACTTTTTCCTGTCACTTCGTATAGTTGTTTTTTGATTCCTCTGAACATTATCACGTTTGCGACCAGATTTCACTTGTGACACAATGACTTCAACCCACCAGAGACTGAACAAAAGCAAATGAGTACATCTAGTCGAAAGTGAATGGTAGGTTATTGCAGGTGCATAACTGACAGGAGAACCCACCGGAACGCCCTCTTTTGTGTATAAGAATGTCATATTAATATGAACAGTTCCTTTTTCAGGTGTTAATCGAAGAGGCAGTCAGAAAGGTAATACAGGCGACGGTTTGATTCCCAAAAGGCTAGTTACCACTGCGTTGATTAGACTTTAGCCGACTCCGCAACTCTGTCGTGTGGTGCTTGGAAATCAGCCCCCCTTACGAAGCTACCGTATCCTGCGAGGCTGTGATTAGTTAGCTTTTTGTCTTGAATGGCTTCTTCGGGACCATTTTGCAACTTTCGCCCGTAAACAATGCCACCCCCATTTCAGTTTATTTTCGTTATAACCTCATCAGATATGTTCTCGTTCTCCACGAATATATCGATTTTTTCTCATGGGCATTTTTTGGCGATTATATATGCAGAATAACTTATGGTTTCTTTATGCGGGAGAAGAAATAATCTTTAGGCAAGCAACAAACGGGAAGACAACGCATAAAATGTTCTTTAATTAAGGACATCTGACGTTTCGGACCAAGCTCGGTCCGTCTTCAGAGTACAGAGACAAAGGCACGTAATATTTTCATGTAGGTCTGGTTGACCCGCATGAATGATGGCGCCGTGTTTGCTTTCTAGTCTTAATCAACCGCCTGATGTT